CTGCTGCTGCTGCTGCTGGTGTTTCCTGCATTTGCGGCCGGAGCGAGGCAACAGCAGCAGCAGAGGCAGCAGCAGCAAGGCAGCATTAGCGACGGCAGCAGCAGCAACTGCACCAGTAGACACTGCAGCAGCAGCCAGGCAGCCGCTTAGAAACGAACAAACTGCAGCACAGTGGAGGCGCCCCTTTGCTGCAGCTGCAGCAGCAGCTGCTGCTGCAGTTGCAGCAGCTGATGCTGCCATTGCAGCAGCTGCTGCTGCTGTTGCTTCTGGAGTTGCAGCAGCTTCCCGCTGGGACGGTGTGAGCCTTTGGTAGACTACACTTTGCTTCTACGGTTGCTGCTGCTGCTGCTGCTGCTGCTGCTGCTGCTGCTGCTGCTCTAGAGCTAGTAAAAGGGATAGGCAAACACTGAAACAGCAGCAAGCACCTTGGAGCTGCAGCAAGCGACCACCAGCAGCAGCAAGTAGCACCAGCAGCAGCTAAGTGCAGCAGCAGCTACTAAGAGATCTAGCAACTAGGGTCAGCAGCAAAAACTAGCAGCAGCAGCAGGAGCATGTAGCAGCAGCAGCACTCGAGGGCAGCTGCAGATACTGGGAGCGCTAGCCACTAGGGTCAGCAGCAAAAACTAGCAGCAGCAGCAGCAGCAATTAGCAGCAGCAGCAGCAATTAGCAGAAGCAGCAGCTAAGGGCAGCAGCAGCTACTAAGAGCACTAGCAACTAGGGTCAGCAGCAGCAACTAGCAGCAGCAGCAGCTGCTGCTGCTGCTGAGTAGGGAGGCCTCATTGATGCGGCAGTTTGCGGCTGCAACTAAGCAGCAGGAGACAGCAGCACGAACTGTCTCTCCCTCTTCTTGTGCTGCTGCTGCTCTGGCAGCAGCTTCGTGCATTTTTGCTGCTGCTGCGTCAGAAGCACAGCAGCAGCTGCTGCTGCACCAGACGCACAGCAGCAACTGCTGCTGCATCACAAGCACAGCAACAACTGCTACTGCATCACAAGCACAGCAGCAACAGCTGCTGCTGTGCCACAAGCACAGCAGCAACTGCTGCTGCTGCTGCTGCTGCTGCAAAGCCGCAGCAGCAGCAAAGAGCCCCTTCAGCGGGGCTCCCCCGCTAGAAAGTCAGTTTCTCTAGGCCTCAGAGACGAGCACGCTGCTGCTGTCGTCTTCACCGCTGCTGCTGTCTTTGCTGCTGCTGCTGCTGCTGCTGCTGCTGCTGCTGCTGCTGCGGCGAGAAGCAAAGGGACACCGCGCCTCCTGAAACAGCAGCGCCTGGTGGGGACAAAAGACAGAAAGAAAAGTTCTTGTCCCTTTAAATGCATCTTGCTGCCTCACGACAGCAGCACCTGCTGCAGCATCTGCTGCTAGAGGACTGCTGCTGCCGGTGCGCCACAGCTGCTGCTGCTGCTGCTGCAGCTGCAGCTGCTGCTGCAGCTGCAGCGGCCGCGCTGCCGTAAGAGACGCCCCCAGCGGCGAGGCCTCTGCGAGCAGCTTCAGGGGGCAGCCGCTTCCGTCCCCACGTTGCTGCTGTAGCAGCTGCTGCAGCTGCTGCTGCTGCTGCTGCTGCTGCTGCTGCTGCGGCTTTATGTGGTAGGAAGCTAGGGCCAGCAGCACCAAAATGTGCCACAAAGAGTGCCGGAAATACTTTGCTGCTGTTTGCCTCGAAGGTGCTGCATTGAACTGCTGCAGCAGCAGCAGCAAATAAACATTGGCTGGCAGGCAGCTAATCGGGTACATCCACGAAGTCACCCCCAGCCAAGCTGCCCCCTGCGCGCAAAAACCAATTGCTCCTGCTGCTGCTGCTGCTGCTGCTGCTGCTGCTGCTGCATGTCCATCTTGTATTTCTATTTGCAGCTACACTGCTGCATATATGTACACATATATATATGCCAGGGTAAAGGTGCAAAGGGAAAAGGCTGCTGCTGCGAAGGGTTTAGGGTTTAGGGTTTAGGGTTTAGAGTGAACGCGCGCAGCTGCTGCTGGCCCCTGTCTCTGGCTGGCTGCATTGAAGTGTCTCCTCCCTAGTGCCGCTGCTACGCTGCTGCTGCTGCCGCCGCTGCTGCTGCTGCTGCTGCTGCTGCTTACCAGCGGCAGCAGCGAGAGCGCTGCTGCGTATCTGTTGCAGAGAGTCAAGACCTTTGGAGTGCCTCCTAAACCCTCGAGTCCGAAAACCCTAAACCCTCCTTTAGTATAATCAGCAGCAAAAAGAAAAGAGAGACAAAAGAAATGGGGGAACTGCCACAAGTACTGCAGCAGGAAGCAAAGTGCTGCGCCCCCGCTCAGTAGCGGGCCCTGCAGCAGCAAAGACACACTTGCTGCTGCTTCTTTGCATTATTTGTTTTCATTTATTTTGTTTTCTTCGTTTGTTTATTTAGTTGTTTTATTATTAATTCTATTTATTTAATTTGGTTTGTTATTTTATTATTTTATTATTTTCTATTATTTGTTTTTGCATGCAGCTGCGCAGCAGCAGCGCCAAGCTGCAGCAAAAGATATGAATAAAATCTGAAGCATTTAAATATATTATTTAAATAGCATTATAAATTAAATAATTATATTTAATTATATTACTATTATAATTAAATTATTTAATTAATTCAAATTATTTAAATTAATTAATTAATTCAATTATTTGATTGTTTAATTATTTATATTCTATTTTGCTGTCAACAAGTGCAGCTGAGCAAAAGAAGACAAAAAAGGAATTAAATTAAATATCAAAAAAGCATTAATTGTATTTCAAAAGGAATTAAGATGTATTTGCATAAATAAATTAAAATATATTTGCATAAATAAATTAAAACAAAAGAAATTATAAAATGCCACTTGCATGCGTTTAAACGCATGCGCAGCGGGCGCAGGGAGTTCGGGGTGTATGTACACCTCAGCCCGCGCGGCTGTGCATGCAAAGCTCCAGAAGGACCAAACAGGGAATTAAAATGGCATTTTAAACAAAATAAAACAAATAATTAAATAATAAAACATTTTGGAAGAATTAAATCTTAAAAAGACACCAAAGAAGGCGCTTTCGACGCGCATGCGCCGCATGCTGCGCAAACCGCAGCAGCAGCAGCAGCAGCAGCAGCAGCAGCAGCAGCAGCAAACTTGGACTCACTCCTGCAGCAGCCCAGCCAATCAAAAGCGGCAAAGCCCCCACAAAAGACCCCACATGTGTGCAGTAGGGGGTGAGGGGTTTGAGCTGCGTGTACACCCCGGCGTACAGCAGCAGCGTAGCAGCAGCAAGAGCAGCAGCAGCAGAATCCGGGAAGCAGCTGTGCAGCAGCCCCACACCGCAGCAGCTGCTAACTAGCGCGAAGCACAAACACGCAGGCACACTCAGCCGTCCTGCTGGCAAAGGCCTGCGTCAAAGCAACACAAACACCTGCTGCTGCTGCTGCTGCTGCTGCTGCTGCTGCTGTTGCTGTTTCAGGAGCTGCCGCTGCTGCTGCTGCTAGGGCCTTCTTGTTTCTACCTTTGCTGCTGCTTCTGTGGTCCCCGCTTTTGCTGCTGCTGCTGCTGCTGTCGCGTCTGCGAGACCTGCGTCTCCGCTGCGCGTGCTGCTGCGGCTTCTGCTGCTGCTGCTGCTGCTGCTGCTGGCCTACCTGTTTCTAGTTCTACTCATTTTTGCGTCTCTGTCCCTTTCAATAATTTGGTTAAGAGAATTCGCAGCAGCAGAGGAGAGAAAGACGCCACCAAAGAGCGCGGCGATGGGCCCCACAGCAACAGCAGCAGCAGCAAGCGGGGCCCCTGCTGCTGCTGCTGCTGCAGGGCCTGCTGCTGCTGCTGCTGCTGCTGCTGTTGCTGCGTCCACTCCCGCCTGCTGCGCCGCCGCGTAGCCCCCCAAAGAAGAGACAGACACCAGAAGGCTCAGCCTCCCCTTGGACAGTCTCTGTGGGGCAGCAGCAGCAGCAGCAGCAGCAGCAGCAGCAGCACAAGGAGACAAAAAAGAAATAAATTGATTTGCAGGGGACTAAAAGGCCCCACTTGCTCGAGCAAACAAACAAATACAAAAGAAGACAAAAAGACACAAAAAGGAATTAAAAAAGAAATAAAAAGAATTAAAAAAGAATTAATGAAAAGAAATTAAAAAAAGAAATTAAAAATAAAAATTGAAATTAAAAGAGGAGAAGAGACACCACAGCCCCGACTGGAAAGGAGACGAGGAGACACACGGGGGCAGCAAAAGGAAAATGAGCAGCAAGAGCAGCAGCAGCAGCAGCAGCAACAGCAGCACAAGCGGCGGCAGCAGCAGCAGCAGCTGCAGCAGCAGAAGCGGCAGCAGAAGGTAGAGCCTTAAGCACCCAGTAAGGCAGCATGAGCCGCAGCAGCTGCCTGGAAGGAGACACCGTGCGTGCTGCAGCAGGGACACCAGCAGCAGCAGCAGCAGCAGCAGCAGCAGCAGAAGCTGTTGCTGCTGCTGCTGCTGCTGAGCCTGGCTTTGCTGCTGGGGGAAGACAGTTTGCAGCAGAAACGCCGTAGAGACACCGCGAGGCCTTCATGGCTGCTGGCGCTGTTGCTGCTGC